CTCACGTTTGTGTTTTTAGGGAGTAAAGCGACGACGTACGGAGGAGCGCAGACTTGATCAACAGGATATACGAGAAATTTATTTCGTGCTCGTACAAAAATCATTTACTAATTATTACAATGCTCACATGTTCTTGAATTCCTTCATCACCTGCTTCTTCCCATCTTCTGCAATTATAACTGTTTCTAGTTTTTTTTTTTCATGTATACTATAAAATTCTCGAATACACAGAGCTTTTTGTCTATTTGTCTATTCTGCTGACTTAGGCATCGGAGAGGTATCCGGCACACACCCGCTGACTAGCTCACGTTTGTGTTTTTAGGGAGTAAAGCGACGACGTACGGAGGAGCGCAGACTTGATCAACAGGATATACGAGAACTTTATTTCGTGCTCGTACAAAAATCATTTACTAATTATTACAATGCTCATATGTTCTTGAATTCCCTTATCACCTGCTTCTTCCCATATTCTGCAATTATAACTGTTTCTAGTTTTTTTTTTTCATGTATACTATAAAAGTATCTACAAAGTTAATATGCCATTTTTTGTCATGCAATACCAGAAGCTAAATGACTTTTTAAAAGAGAACACAGATTACTACTTCCTAAAGTACAAATGTCAATGCAATTCAAAATTCAATATCCAAATTGCAAAGAAACAAATTAATTGGCAATATCAATTTTCCCCACAACAGTTTATTCACCCATTCTGATACTTTGTTCATACCAGGCTATCATGTAAGACTGATGGTTGCCTTATTAGAAAACCATCAACCTTTTTAAAACAGGGAGATAGCTAATTTCTAGAAGCAAGGGCTTACCATAAAATTTTAGTCAATCAAAATAAAACAAAACAAAAAGGACATATTATCTCTGGTATAATAAACCTGTGGCGTAACTTTGACTATTTCAAAACTCCAAATATCATGTAACAAAGATGCTAACCTGTGTCTTTATAAAAAGGCCATCAACAATCTTGTAATGCACGAAGAAAAAAAGAACAAAAAAATAAGAAGAAGAAGAAAAAATGCTATGAATATGAATTTAACCACCTAAAACCTTTGACCATTTTAAAACTCCAAAAATCATGTAACAAAGATGCTGACCAGTGTTTTTATAAAAGATCATCAACAATCTCATAATGCACGAAGAAAAAAAGACAAAAAAAAAAAGAAAAGAAAAAAGAATAAGCTATGTTATGAATATAACCACCTGAAAAATATATATCAAAGATCTGATATTTAAATATGAATTTAACTGTGTTGTTATTGCTTTGCATCTTGATACAATGACTTATTAAAGCTTCATATCACTACTACTTATTGAAGTGGTTAACAGTAGGTATGGTTTAACCAATTATAGGCGATACATTTATTTTATTCCGTTGCTACAATTCAAAACAGTAGATATGGTTTAACCAATGTGTTTTTTTAGTTTTTTTTTAGTACGTATAGTTTGTATTAGTATTTTTAATTGTTTGTTTGTTCAATTGTATTTTTTTCATTTTTGATTATGAAATTGTGGTTGTTTGTCCCATTGTTTTTGGGAATGTTCCATTGTATTTTCAATGTGTTGGGTTAGTTTTACTTGATAGTTAATATAAATTACTGCAGTTGTTGCAGAAACTAACCCCAATTAAAAACTTCTCTCCCTCGAACACATTGAAATCAGTAGGTATGGTTTAACCAATGTGGTAGGTTAGTTTTAGTTTTACTGTTGTTGTTTTTTTTTTTTTTTTCAGTTTAAATATTTAAACTTTCTTCTCATAGGTTCATGGATATGATTGTTGTGGAGTTTCACTTATGTGAAATTGGCAATCCTGGAACCTTCCACCATTGCGGGTAAATTGCTTCCCATCCCAATGTGCAGATGAACTGCTTCCCACCCTCTTAAATTATTTACAATGATGAATAGAGTATTTTTTTTTATTCACAATGGTGAATACAGTATTCCCACCCTATTGCTTTAATTGCTTTCATTATTGCTTATAAAATGGTTTCTGAACTGCTTCACACCCTCTTGAATTATTTATAATAGTGAATAGAGTATTTCCACCCTCTTACTTTAGTTGCCTTTATTATTGCTTATAAAATGGTTTTGTTGCGGTATATTTATCATAAAATAAATATGATGGGTTTTGAACAGTTTCTGCAGATAATGCAAGAGTATTTAATTAATCACATTAAATAGTTTTTGCTTTTGATCAAACAAAATGGATTGGTGAATGTATATGTGTGTATTGTTTTACACTGTGCCTTCAGATACGGGCATACGCTAGTGTATATATATATATCTAAATCATAACAAATTATTTGTAGGATGATATAAATAAGTATACTTTTTGATTTTTTATAAAAAAAAATGTAGAAAGGTAGAGAGGTGATGTGACCCAAATAAGTACACTTATTTAGTTAAGTGCACTTATATCAATAATGCCAAAGGTTTGTTTGGGATAAATTAAAAAAGTCAAAAAATTACTAAAAAAAATCAAAAAGTCCATACTATTTGGGGAGGCTTGCGGGGGAAGCTTAGAGGACAAAATTATTATTTTGCTCTTTGAATTTAACTACCCAAAAGCCAAAATTTAAAAGTCAAAAAGTCAATAAGAGTAGAATGGTCATTTTGATTTTATTATAATATTTTATTGCACATCTTTTTGTAAAAACTTCAAAAGTTATCTCAAACATATATATTTTTTAGATAAATTACAAACACACCCCTTGAGATTTACTTAAATTATAAATTACCCCATGTGGTTTTAGAAATTACATTATGGCCTCTAAGGTTTCTAATTTCATAACAAATAGGTCATTTTATTAATAAATCATCAAGTTAATTAACAGTTTTTAATAATGTTAAAATTTTATTTCAGTTGATAATTTAGATAATTGTTGTTTTTTTTTTTTTTTTCAGTTTAAATATTTAAACTTTCTTCTCATAGGTTCATGGATATGATTGTTGTGGAGTTTCACTTATGTGAAATTGGCAATCCTGGAACCTTCCACCATTGCGGGTAAATTGCTTCCCATCCCAATGTGCAGATGAACTGCTTCCCACCCTCTTAAATTATTTACAATGATGAATAGAGTATTTTTTTTATTCACGATGGTGAATACAGTATTCCCAGCCTATTGATTTAGTTGCTTTCATTATTGCTTATAAAATGATTTCTGAGCTGCTTCCCACCCTCTTGAATTATTTACAATAGTGAATAGAGTATTTCCACCCTCTTATTTTAGTTGCCTTCATTATTGCTTGTAAAATGGTTTTGTTGCGGTATATTTATCATAAAATAAATATGATGGGTTTTGAACAGTTTCTGCAAATAATGCAAAAGTATTTAATTAATCACATTAAATAGTTTTTGCTTTTGATCAAACAAAGTGGATTGGTGAATGTATATGTGTGTATTGTTTTACACTGTGCCTTCAGATACGGGTATACGCTAGTGTATATATATATATATATATTTCTAAATCATAACAAATTATTTGTAGGATGATATAAATAAGTATACTTTTTGACTTTTTACAAAAAAAAATGTAGAAAGGTAGAGAGGTGATGTGACCCAAAAAAGTCCACTTATTTAGTTAAGTGCACTTATATCAATAATGCCAAGGGTTTGTTTGGGATAAATTAAAAAAGTCAAAAAGTTACTAAAAAAAATCAAAAAATCCATACTATTTAAAATTAAAAAATATATATTTAAAATAAAAAAAAATCTTAAATATTTTTAAATATTTATAAAAATAAATCCAAAAAATTTCAAAATACAACTCAAAATTCTTTCAAATTTCAAAATTGAAAAAACTCAAATTTTTTTTTTCAAAACTCATAACCAAATATATATATATTTTTTAAAAAACTCAACTCACAACTCTATAGTTGAATCACAATTACAAATTCAAATTATAATTTAAAACTAAACAAAGCAGAGATTTTCTTAAAAAAAAATTGTAGTAAATTTTATAAAGTATAATAATTAAAATTTTAAACTTTTCATAAACACATGATTATTTTGTAAAAACTCCACTGAATTATAATTTTCTCATTTTTTTCAAGCAACATTGTTACAACGAATTTGAACTTATATGAATTACTTTAATTTATATACACTGATTATCTAGGCAGAAATTAATTGACACACTGATTGACAATAATGACAACTGTAATTAACAATGAAGATATTAGTCATTCAAATAATCATCTGATCAAACATCCGACTTATATCATTTAAATAATTTGGACGAATTTAAATCCGGTGGATCAATTATTTTTCCTTTTCAATACTGTCATGGTCTAACCCATCAGATCATCCCGGAACAGTTTCACAAAATTGCACCTATTTTCGAAGAAAATTACTATAAAACCCATCTTCAGTTCCAACTCTGAGCTGTTGTTTGGAAACAAGAAGAGCAGGCAGCGAGAGGGAGAGTTGAGGTGGGGGTGGAGAGTGAGGGGTGGGGACGAGCGTATCTGCACAAATCCTGAAATTCGATTCAGTTGCTTTAAAAAGTAAGCTAAAGAAGATATCTTTTCCAATTAAAAAACTACACTCACAGACGCAATGGGGTCCAGAGATTGAGAGAGAGAGAGAGACCAACAAAACAAAACAAAACAAAACAAAACAAAAGCGCCCATGGGGTGCAGTAATTTGTACCCAAAAACAGGTCGGTCGTCTTCGTTTTTTGTTTTTTTGAGGACAGTCTATGGGCTTGTGCTTCGCTGGTATTCAAGGCTAAACTATTTGATTACAATCTTGTTTGATCTTGGTTTATGCATATTTATTTAACAATATTGCTAGAGGGTCATAATTTTTATAGTCACAATGACTTAAAATTGTTAAAATGATATCAATTATTTTGACATATTTTACAAAAAAACGATGTCATTTTAACAATTTTAACCACAAAAATTATGGCCCTTAAACAGTTTCTTTTATTTAATTATGTATATAGAACAGTGAACGTGCTCTGCTTTTGTCTGGACTGTTAACCAAACTTCACGCTTTTGCAGAGAGAGAGAGAGAGAGACATAATTTGAGAGAGAGAGAGAGAGGTGGGTTTTTGGAACTTGGGTTTTGTTCATCTTTTTAGGTTGAAACTAAACTAGCCATGCCATGCTTGCTTTTTTAGAGAGAGCACTGTAACACTGTTCATTATTCTGATAACTTGGATCACGCAAAGCAAATGCCGTAATGATAGTTTAGTCTCTGAATGTAAAACTTATCTTTTGTATTGCAAAAAAAGTGCTTCTGCAAAAGACTGACTGTACTTGTCAAAAAGTTGTAGCTAAAATAATGCACTGTTTATTCTGGGTTTTTGTTTTTTAGCTCAGAAATGAAGTGGGAAATAGGGGAAGAAGCAGAAGAAGAAGAAGAGAGAGAGAGAGAGAGAGAAGCAGAGGAAGTTTTGTGCTGATGGGTCTGAAGGGGCAAGGCCACCACTTGCTGGTTGTGAAGTTGAATGAACAATTGAGCACAAAAAGGAAATACTCATTCATCAACAGAGCTTGGCTGATGCTTTGGATGTTGTTTATGGGCTTTGTTAGCTATGTAATCTATGAGAATATGGATGCTGATAACAAGGAGAGAAGGAAGGAAGTGCTTGTGAGCATGTGTGATCAGCGAGCTAGAATGTTACAAGATCAATTCAATGTCAGCGTTAACCATGTCCACGCGCTCGCAATCCTTGTCTCAACTTTTCATTATTACAAGAACCCATCAGTAATTGATCAGGTTTGTTCTCTTTGTTTATGCTACTTACATTAGGGTTTTGATTTTGGGTATTCCATTGTTGTGTTCTTTGATGATTTACAATAACCCATTAGCAATTGATCAGGTTTCTGCTTATCTTATAGTGGGTTAATTTAATCTTGGGCATTAAAATATTGTGATTGATTGTTTGATTTGGGACGGTTCATTCTGAGCAATGCGTGTTATATGTTTGATTGATTGATTGTTTGAGTTTGGAAGGTTCATTATGAGCAATGCAGGAAACTTTTGCTGAGTACACGGCCCGGACGGCTTTTGAACGACCATTGTTGAGTGGAGTGGCCTATGCACAAAGAGTGGTTAATTCTGAGAGGGAAGAATTTGAGAGGCAACATGGTTGGACTATAAGGACAATGGAGAAGCAGCCTTCGCCTATCCGGGACGAGTATGCTCCGGTGATATTCTCTCAAGAAACAGTTTCCTACATTGAATCACTGGATATGATGTCAGGGGAGGTAATTTACTGATGATTCCATGGTTATATGATTTTGAATTGGTTTATTTTTTGTTTGAATTTTGCATAGCTATGTGTCTAGATCAATTGGGTATTTGATCGTGACCTGTGTATATCTTCACCTTGATGTAGGAGGACCGTGAAAACATTTTAAGGGCTAGGGCTACTGGGAAAGCAGTTCTTACAAGCCCCTTCAAGTTGTTGGGTTCTCATCATCTCGGCGTTGTGTTGACATTCCCGGTTTACAAATCCAAGCTCACTCCGAACCCATCTGTTGAAGATCGCATTCAAGCAACTGCTGGGTATGCTAGTGTTTGTCTTTTTTATTAGAAAGTTTTCTGTTGTAAGTTGGTGTTTAAAACATATGGAACTAATGTTGTAAGTTGGTGTTCAAAACATATGGAACCAATCTCAACATTAGCTAGCAGATCTAAGGCTTGTTTGGTGCATCTTATTAAAGGTTGGCTTTGTTTTGTTTCTTGTTTTTTGGAAATTTATGTCAAAATATTTGGTGCAGTTTAGGCGTACAGTTTAAGGAGGCAAAAATAACTTTTAAAGGAAAAAAGTCAATTATTGAGAAGCTAGAAGAGGGATGCCTTTAGCTTATGTTTTTTGATTATTTATTTTTATCTTATAAAAATCTGTAACAAACAGGCCCCTTGTGGAGAATGGTATTTGATGGGTCGGCTAGAAGACCCACTAAAAACCAATTGAAGGAATCCTAGGGAAGAGCAGAACTTGGCATTTTGTTGCTGACTTGTTGCTTCATCTTGTGTTTAATACTGTTTTATAAAACAAGAAGGTTGTTTTTACCTCCATTTGGTTCTTCTGACTAAGTCAGCTGCATAGAGGTTGTGATTTAAGCATATGGCACATTGCCATGCTTAATTCTAGTTACATTTTCTTCTATTTACATGCTCTGTCTTATTGTTTATGTTGCTAATTTGCTAGTACTAGATATGCTTCAATCCCAAATGTTCCTTTGTGGTATTTGGGCTTTTAGTATTCATGATCTTACAGTCAAATTTGCAACATTGAAGGAATCAGTATGAAGAATTTATATTTTGTGCACACGTATCAAGGATTCACTGTGCCTAATTATAATTTCTATTGGAAACAAAACAAAACAAAACAAAAAAATGAAATATTAATTTGAGGAGGCTTGTAAATATGTTTTGAATTCAATGTAGGAGCCTTGTCTAAAAATATCATCACTCCACCAAATTATCAGGGTAATGCTCTCATTTCCCTCCTGTTTGTGCTTCATTAAATTAGGAATATACATTATAGATACATATATATTTGTTACCATATGGCTGTTTTTGGTTCAAGGATTTGTGAGGAAATTTTTGGAGAAAGAAAAAATGAGGGAAAAGTGACAAAAATTTACTTTTCCCTCATTTTTTCTTTCATTCCAAAAATTCCTACTCAAATCCACAATCCAAACACAACATATATGTATGGGTGGGCAACTCATTGGTGTTTGGGAACATGTAGCCCATATTGTGCTAGTAATTTTTTCAGCAATGTTAAGTGGCTTTTGTGGACTATTTTTCACTATTTTGCATTCATTCATTGTACAAGTAGTTCTTTTCAAAGGTTAGACTTCTAATCTAAATTTTGCGAGCTGCTGCTTCTTCTTCTTCTTCTTCTTCTTCTTTTTGTTTTTTAACAATTTAAATCGACATTGGACTATTTTTTACTACCCGTGCTTTATACATCCTGAGCAATGTCAATTTTTATATGCTCATAATTTGTTGACTGTTGCATGTTCTTCTTTTGATATGTATGGGATATTGTCTGGCCAAATGTTTAGCATGTTATGTACAATTTTCTGGTATGATGATACGGGAGTACTATAAGTAGAAAGTATATCACATTAGTTTCTCTCCCCTTCTTCTTCATGAAACGTTCTGCATGCGATGTCACTAAAATGTTCTTATTGAAAGCAGATATCTTGGTGGGGCCTTTGATGTTGAGTCACTTGTTGAGAATTTACTTGGGCAACTTGCTGGAAAGCAGGCAATTGTGGTCAATGTGTTTGATATTACTAACTCTTCAGATCCCTTAATCATGTATGGACACCAATATCAAGATGGTGATGTATCCCTCAAGCGTGTCAGCACACTTGATTTTGGAGATCCATTCAGGAACCACCAAATGGTGTGTAGGTAAGTGCACCCAGTCCCTAATTCTTATTTGAAAATCAGTCTTAAATATCCTCTTTAAGGTTTTTCATTGTAGAAGAAAAAAGAAAAAAGAGTTTGGTCCTTGCAATTAAAAAAAAAACAGAAAAGAGTTTTAAGGTTTTTCATTGTAAAGATGTTACTCATTGTATCAAATCCTGAGCAGGTACCTTGAGAAGGCACCCACATCATGGACAGCACTCACCACTGCGTTCTTATTCTTTGTGATTTTCTTTCTAGTCGGTTACATGATATATAGTGCAGCAAAACATATTGGCAAAGTCGAGGATGATTTTCATGAAATGCAGGAATTGAAAGTCCGAGCAGAAGCTGCTGATGTTGCAAAATCCCAGGTCTCACAGCAAACCTGTTTCAAGAGCATGATTTAGTTTCTGTCATCAAACAAATCCATTGATAACCTTTTGACCCTTTTTTTTTTTGGGCCTAGTTTCTAGCCACTGTTTCGCATGAAATTAGGACACCCATGAATGGCGTCCTTGGTATGTCAAACAACCCTTCTTTATTTATTTATTTATTATGGTTTTGTAGTCCTTTATCAGCAAGCTGTCTCTTGTGCACTTGCAGGAATCTTGCCTTGTTCTAAGATACGGATTTGAGTTCAACCCAGAGGGACTATGCTCAAACTGCTCAAGCTTGTGGAAAAGCATTGATAACTTTAATAAATGAAGTGCTTGACCGGGCAAAAATTGAAGCCGGCAAGTTAGAGTTGGAAGCAGTGCCATTTGACCTTCGCTCTGTACTTGATGATGTTCTCTCTTTGTTCTGTGAGAAATCTAGGAACAAGGGCATTGAGGTAACCTATAATGACTGCAACAGGACCAATTTTTACACGTGTTCCAGAATTATTGACTCAAGGGGCCTAAAAGATTTGTTCTGCTCTGTCACTGCTTGATTTGTCCCCTACATTTGTGAACTGGCACATATTTCACCATTTATGAACTGACTCTGTGTGTTTTTGTCTCTTATTTTGTTTTTCTTGGCCCCTTTCGACATGCCTTTCTGTGGGATTAATCAATGATTGGTGCCATTCGTCATGCATTTTATATTCACTCCCAACTCAATGATGCATAATCGACTGGGGAATGAAGTTGGCGGTGTTCATTTCTGATAAAGTCCCTAATATTGTTATGGGGGATCCAGGAAGGTTCCGACAGGTTATAACAAATCTTGTGGGAAACTCTGTCAAAGTAAGTGAAGCATCAAAGCCTGGCTACTCTAATTGCTTTGTCACAGAATATTTATTTTTTTGTTAATTGCACATGTCAATAACCCATTTCTTCACGCTTCCAAACCAAGGAAAAAAGAAAAAGACAAATATTATTTTCCTAACCTGACATTTCTCTCAACTTTTGAAATCATACATCCCTATGATACGGATTGCACTTGCTTACCGACTTCTTAATAGAGTCTATGCTCATAAGATCTAGCTTCTACCAGTTTACAGAGCAAGGACATATATTTGTTCAAGTTCATCTAGCTGAGCATGCAAAGGTAGTAATGGATGCGAAAGCTGAATCTTGTTTGAACAGTAGTGGCTGTCAGTCAAAAACGTTGAGTGGTTATGAAGCTGCTGATGACCGCAACAGTTGGGATGTCTTTAGATGTTTAATTGCTGATGAAGAATTTCGGATGCCCACCAAGGAGACTTCTCAGGCTGTCACTTTACTTGTATGTGTGGAAGACACAGGGATCGGCATACCTTTATGTGCCCAAGAGCAGGTTTTCACGCCCTTCATGCAGGCTGACAGTTCAACGTCTAGGAATTACGGCGGAACTGGTATTGGGTTGAGTATTAGTAAGTGTTTGGTTGAGCTGATGGGTGGACAGATAAATTTTATTAGCCGTCCTCAAGTTGGAAGCACATTTTCATTCACTGCAGTCTTTAGACGATGCGAGAAAAATTCTTTTGGTGATCTGAAAAAAGCTCTCCCTGACGATCTCCCTAGTGGATTTAAAGGATTGAAAGCAGTTGTAGTTGATGAGAAACCAGTTAGAGCAGCTGTTACTAGATATCATCTAAAGAGACTTGGTATCCTGGTTGAAATTGTAAGTAGCATCAGGATGGCTTCTGCCATGTTTGGTAAAAATGGTTCATTGAGACCTAAGTAAGTATTTGTTTTGCTTTCTTTACATTTTTTTAGTGCTTACTTAAAAATCCTTGTTATTCATGAGCAATTTGAAAATTTCCAATTTGAATTAATTTAAATTAACTTTATGTCTATGGCTCTGTGCCCAACAGAGACAACTTTTTTTTTTTCGTCATTCCTTTTTGATGTGGCCTACACCAAACCTTGTCACCAATTAATGGTTTATTAGCCCAGGATTCTAAAAACGTAACTACTCGAAACACTTAAATGTAGCATAAACACTTTGATGGTGTTTGGAAAGTGAGTTTTTATGTAGATTTTTTTAGATGTAAGATATTATTGAAGAAGATTTTTTTTGTGTTTGGGAAGATAGTTGGGTTTTTTTGTGGTTGGATATGATGTTTGTGAGAGAAAAAGTGAAATAATTATGGGGTTGGATGTGATATTTTGTTTGGATGTGTTTTTTTTGATTTTGCAAAATTTTTGTCTTTTAGTGAAAAAAATGAGAAAAAACCTAGGTAAAATAGTTCCCAAACACCACCTTTCTTTACCATTTGTTTTGGATTTTCTATGTTTTCTAGAAGTTTGCCTAAAAGGATCTCCCTCTGAATCACTAAAAGAGCAATGTTTGAGAAAATTTAGATCTACAATCTGTTGAAGTAATCTCATTCAATTATCTGAATTCAACTACTTTTGATCATGGCAGAAATGAAAGGCAACCAGATATGATTCTAGTTGAGAAGGACTTATGGATGTCTGGTGAAGATGGTAGCTTAAATTTACAGTTAGTGGACTGGAAACAGAATGGCCACACAACTAAGTTGCCTAAGATAATCCTACTTGCGACCAGTATTACTGTCTCAGAGTTTGACAAAGCAAAACAAGCAGGTTTTGCAGATACTTTGATCATGAAACCTTTGAGAGCGAGTATGGTGGCAGCATGCCTTCAACAGGTGATGGGAATGGGGAAGAAGACACAACAAGGCAAAGACATTGTCAATGGATCTGCTTTCCTTCGGAGCTTGCTTTTTGGAAAGAAAATTTTAGTGGTTGATGACAACAGAGTGAACCGTAGAGTTGCTGATGGTGCACTCAAGAAATTTGGGGCTGATGTGAAGTGTGCTGAGAGTGGAAAAGCTGCTCTTGCATTGCTCGAGTTGCCACATAATTTTGATGCTTGCTTCATGGATATTCAGATGCCTGAAATGGATGGGTATGTACTATAGATTTATTCATATTGATTCTTGACATGCAATTAATCATTTTGTTCTTTCTTTTTGAAAATCATTATGCTTCTACTGAAATACTTGAAACTGTCAAATTTCTCTAATATGCCTAATTTTCTTCAGTCATATACCCATAGTTTTTCCTTTCCTGGTTTTCTGATTGTACTGCCTTTATTTCGTTGATACAAATCCTTTCTTAGATACTCATAAAAGTTGAAGAAAATCTTGGAAGCTCTGGTTTACAAGACATTAGCTAATGGATGATAAGATATTGAAATCTGCCTCCTTCTTCTAAGACTTGGACCTTCAATTAATTGTAACTAAATAGTTTTGATTTTCCAGAAATCTGGATCTTCTGTGGATGTTTTTGCTATGTGTTTTTTTAAATACCACCTGTGAGTCAAGTGCATGTTTTGTTTTATTTTACTTTTTTGTGGTTAGGATTCCTAAGACTGCTTTCAAGATTTTCTTGTTTGGACGTTGACACTGTTTTCAGGGTCTTGTTCAAGAATACATATATATATATATATATATGTGTCCACAGTTTTTTACAGTCCACCGTTCCGTTGCCAATTTCCATTAGTGGCCTAGTAAAACAAATATATAAATTTATTTAACTTAACTGATCACATAGCCCTTGACAGAGCAAATTAGTTGGAAAAAATTCATGTAGCTGACTCTACTTGAGTGGGACACAAGGTTTAGTTTGTTTTGGCCTTGTGTGACAAATCAAACAACTTGAGAGAAAGAAGAAGACAAACATAGTATATTGATACTCCTCCGTCTTACATAATTCAGTAACGCAACTAAATATATCTAAAGCCCTAGTAACTAGAACATATGAAATGTACAAAGGTACTGATGTAGCAAAAAAGTGAAATAGTAATGATCTTAGTCTGTTGATTTAAAGATAAATACCGGAAGCAAAATCCTTCTTTAGACTGGTTGATTTACCACAAAGAATACCTAGAATAAAGCTCAACAATGGTTGATTCTCAAAAGAATATCCAAGGTTGGAAAAAAGTGAAAACTCAAAATTGTATTAATTCTCTAAATTGTTCTGCCGTAAGGCTTACAATGATTATTTATAAGTAAAAGCAAACCTAACGTAGTATGGAACAACCAGAATCGACAATTCCTTAACAAGCAAATCATAAATAAGGAAATACAAGGAAAATTACTAAAAATGAAATATTGAAATAAACTAAAATACTACTAATTTAGACTGCATGATAATGGCAGATTTGACGGAATCAAATTCTGACTTCTATGGTAAGAGTAATTGGAGTGGCAAATCTTTCGAAAAACAGAAAATTTCAAAATTGACAGCCTAAATGATGGAATTTGCTCAAAATCCACCATTGTCAAATGGAACCATCACAAGCCATACTGCAATGGATTTGGGAGGAGAAGACATATGTTACAGTGGGGATGAGAAGATTGGTGAGGGGAGGCGGTGGGGTATAGAGAAGGAGATGGGGCTGGTGGCTATGGCAGAAGGGGAATGGGAGGAGGTGAGTGGCGGTTGGAGAAGGGGAGGGAGGGGTATGGGAAGGGGATGGGTGGCAGTGGGAGAAGGGAAGCAGGTGCACGTGGGGAAGAAGGGGCTAGCCTGGGGAAGGGAAGGAAAAGAGAAGAGGATCTGGTCCAGTGTGGTTAGGCCTATGGTGGATAGTTCTGATTTAAGTAGATAGATAAGTTTGATATGGTGTGGTCAAGTGTAAATTAACAAGGACAAGTTAAAAAAATTAATATGGGAGTGCCATGTGTATTACCAAAAACTTAATTTTTGTTAAATGGCTTAATGAGGATGGATGGATGATTGACATTGCTATAAAGTGCATCAGAGTTTAATTTAGTGTTATTTTTTTACTTTCCCCTTCAATTTCTTTCATCATTTTATAACTTTATTATAATAAAATTTATATTTTATTCACAAAGGTTAATTTCTCAAAAATGATCAGAGAATGCTTCTATGAATATTGATTAACTTTCCGGCTATTTGCAGAGCTAATTACTTTGTTAGACATATCAACAAAGCAGCTTTGGTTGCTGCAACAGCATGGTAAAACTATCCACAGTAAGAACTATGATGGTTCTAGCTGCGGAGAACAGTGTACTTTGCAAAAATTTAACCAATTTTTGCAAATTTGGAAATCCTAGGTTGAGTTTCTGTTTAACAATTTGATCTTGTTTATTTCAATGCCATTTGAATGGACCCTATGAGAATGTTGTTGGAATGTATCCTACATTGCCTGGAATTACCTCATCTGTACTGGTTATAAAGCTTCAGTTTCTCTCTCCTAAATACTTGCTTTTTAAGAAGTATGGGTTGAACTTTTCAATTTGGTATTAGAACTTGGTTGGGTCTCTGATTGGTGTGCCGTTTGTTCGGTTATGGTATATTGTGGTCCATGAGGATGTGTCGGAATGTTTCTCACATTGTTTAAAGTTGCCCTATTTGTGTTGGTTATAAGACTTCCGTTTTTTTCTTTTTAATACTTGAGTTTTAAGGAAAAGTATGACTGGATTTTCAATTAATGTCCGAACATCCTTTACAATTCCTAAAAAGCTTACCATGAGACATGACTTGTGTAAAAGTGCAAAATTTGATCATTTAACCCAATCTTCTTTGTCTTTTTTTATTTTTTCTTTTTCTTTTTTCAGTTTTGAGGCAACACGTCGTATTCGGAATATGGAGAGCAAGGCTAAAGAGAAGCAGATGAATGAAGGATCCACCATTGAAGGAAGAAAGGCTGAGTGGCACTTGCCAATATTAGCCATGACGGCAGATGTGATTCAGGCCACATATGACAAATGCCTGAAATGTGGGATGGATGGTTATGTGTCAAAGCCTTTTAAAGAAGAGAATCTCTATCAGGCTGTCGCGAGGTTCTTTGAGTCCAAACCCATCTCGTAACAAGATTACCCATTCCAAACTGAATTCGGCATTGTCGAAAAGAAGTTCCGGTGGGTCGAGCATTACTAGCTATTTTTCCATATTCAGCTGGTTCTTTCTGTTGAGTAGTAGTACACCACCAGAGGCAGTTGGTTTCTTTGAATTTTGAAGTTTGTTGTGCAGAACATGAATGCAGACTTGGACAGTCATTTCTAACTACAAGGATTTAATTAATTTGATTAGCATATCTCGAGTAAATGTATACTACTGTGAATCCTACACCCCACTTGTATGTATAGAGATCTTTAGATGGGGATGGGGAGCAAAAATTGTATAACCTTGATATATACATTCTTAAAGGGCGGACCTGATGCAGCAGTCAAGCTGCTCCTTTGTGACCTGGTGGTGAAAATAGCCTCTCAGCTTGCCGGGGTAAGTCAGCATATATCAATCATTCTGCAGACCCCACATATATTTGAGAGCATCGTGCACTGGATATGAGCTTGATGTATATTCGTGGTTATGGTTTCCTTGACAAGTTCAGTTTTAGTATCTTAATTTTTATATTTGTCTTTTTGTATGACTTTTTTGATACATATTATGCCTCCGTTTGGGAAGTGGGTTGGCTTTTTGGCTTTTTGGTTTTTTTGGCTATTTTAGCCTGGGCTTAAAAACTTGGTTTGGGAAGGGCTTTTTGGATTTTTTGAGTTTTTTTGTGAGAGAAGAATGTAATGATTATGGGTTGGATGTGATGTTTTGTTTGTTATGGCTAAAATAGCCTATTTTGTTTTTTGTGGCTAAAATAGCCAAAAAAACCTAAAAAAGCTCTTGCCAAACGGAGGCTATGAATGATGCTTTTTTGTACGAGACGTTTTTGGGACAAATTTAGGTAATGTTCTAATTTGAATATTATTGGCTAAAACAGTAAATGGTGGTTTTGGATGTCTTAAATAAGTGTATTTTTTGATTTTTTGTAAAATATGAGTTGAGTTTAAAGTGATGTGATAGAGAGGTGATGTGACTTAAATAAGATGATGAGACTTAAATAGGATAGTGATTTTTTAAATTTTTTTAGTTTATGCCCAATAAGGTCTACGTCTCACAATCAATTTGTCTCATTTGAGGAAATAACATAATTGGAACTGTAAATGAATTGAGTTGTTCATGAATCGGCTTGGTTTGGTTCGTTAAGGACTCGACTCGGCTCGACTTGACTCGTTTAGTAAATGAGTCGAGTTCGAGTTCAAATATTAGGCTTGTTTAGTAAATGAGCTGAGCTCGAGCTCGACTCATCAAACTCGATTTGTTTATCTTTATTTAAATTTAATATTTAATTGTCTAAATTTTGGGGCGTGACATCAAGCTCGCACGAGCTCGGCTTATCAAGCTCGGTTTGTTTATCTTTATTTAAATTATATAATAAATAATATAAATAATATTTTTTATTTAAGTAATATAAATAATATTAAAAAAAATTATCGAGCCGAGCCGAGTCGAGTTCGAGCTAAATAAATGAGCTCGATAAGTAAATGAGTCAAGCTCGAGCTCAGCAAAGCTCGGCTCGGCTTGGTTCGTTTGCAACCATAAACATGTCTCTTGTTTAAAGATGAATAGCGTGGAGCAATACTTCAAGATAACCAAATATTTTCTTGCTTTTTTAATTTTAAAAAAGAGATCTATGTTTAAGTTATCATTAATTATTATGGCCCTGTTTGGTAAGGTTTATTTTCAGCTTATTTCAGCTTAATTTAAGCTATTTTAATGTGTTTGATTCAGCTTAACAATATAGTTTATAGTTTTTTGTAAGTTAAAAATCAACTTATTATTTGAGTGGGGGAGGAGAAACTTAATTTATAAATAAAAAATCAGCTAATGTTCACAGCTATAAGCTATAAGTTGTTAAGTTATAAGTTATAATCACTTTCCTACAGTTCTACCAAACGGGGCCTATGTTAGGAAACTTTTTGAAAAGTATCATATGCACCATGTTACGTAATTTTTTTAATACATATTATATTTTTTTGTGTGATGAATGTTTTGTATTTTTTAAATAAAATTATAATGATTTATGATTAAAAAATGAAATTAGACCATTTTGTAATTTTATTTTTGAATTATAAATTATAAATAACTCAATTAAAAAATTGTATAATATTTGTATCAAACAATTGCGTAATACCAAAGGAATTTCCATTTACTATACACTTGGAATTTTGGTGTGATTGACTCAAATATATCACTGATTTTCATACCCAATATATATCACCGATTCATCTGGTTAGCATTTTCATTGGTGATTCCACCCTGGTATCTTATAAACCATTTGAATTTTGAAAATTTGAAAAAATCATATCAAAATTATCAATTATCAAAACCCTACTGCATTCCAGCTCAGTCCTCTGTGTCTCACTAACATGTCCAGCTCAATCACAACCCCAGGAAGGCTTCTGGGTCATTAATTGTCACCAGTTTCAGAAACGTAACGGAAAACAAAAATATATGGAAAATTCAGGGACGAATTGGGAAATATGATAGAATTTCCAAAATAACCTGTAATTAACAGGGATATAATTATACAGTTGGATGTGTGTGTGGGAAAGGTTTTTGACGTGCGAGGTGGTGCAAAATTTTAAAATTTAATAATTATTTTTAGACAGTTAAAATTTAATAATATTTGAAAATTTATATTTATAATCATCGTAGAAAGATTCACATTGTTATCTAATGACGTTGATTTAATTTTTCCAAAAATATAAATTTTAACAATATATAAATAGTAAAAAATTTAATTACATTGTAGAAGATAAATTAAATTAAGGGGTTTTTGGGGTGTTCTAAATAAGTGCACTTTTTATCTTTTTGGACTAAAAAATTGAGAAAAAAAATATGGATGTTTGGGTTAATTTTTTGATTTTTTATGGAAAAATGTGTATTAAAAAATTGTAAAAATTGGCTTGTAAGAAAAAATTAGGATTGGGAGTTATGTAGCCGTAATTGTTGACTTTTGGTGAATAGTGTTAACTTTTTGAGTAATTTTTTGACTTTTTCTTATCTTCCCAAACTTGGCCTAAATACTCTAATGAAATTTCTTTTACAATTAAGCTGCAAATTGAATTGAGATTATATTATTAAATTTAGACATATATTATTATTATTATTATTATTATTATTGATCCTTTTGAAAGCAAGACTAGAATTATAACGGGTAAATTACAACCACCCCTAAGTTTACTTAAATTACAAATTATCTCATAGGATTCTAAAAATTATATTATACCTTCTAAGGTTTTTAATTTCATAATAAATAGGTCCTTTTATTAATAAATCATAAAATTAATTAACAGTTTTTAATAACGTTAAAATTTTATTTCAATTAATGTTTTAGATAATTTTATTATTGTATAGGTGAACAGTTAGAAATTTTACTTTTTTAATTAATTCTGTTAAATAAAAAATTCTGACAGGGAGGTATTTATAATTTTCTAAACTACAGGAGACAATTCATATTTTAAGCAAATCTCAGAGGATATATTTGTAATTTACCCAATTATAAATTAGGAATAAAATTAAGACTAGGTTTGGCATTCTCTAAAAAAAGTTAAAAAGTCAAAAAGTCACTATTCTATTTAAGCCTACGTTTGGGAAGAAAATTTTGGGGCTTTTTTGGCTATTTTAGCATAGGCTATTTTAGCCACAAAAAACAAAACATCACATCCAACCCATAATCATTACACTCTTCTCTCACAAAAAAAGTCAAAAAAGCCAAAAAGCCCTTCCCAAACCAAGCTTTTTAGCCCAGGCTAAAATAGCCAAAAAATTCAAAAAGTCAAAAAGCCAACTCACTTCCCAAACGTAAAGTCACATCATTTTATTTAAGTTATATCACATCCTACCACATCACTTCAAACCCAACACATATTTTATAAAAAATCAAAAAATATACTTATTTAAAACATAAAAAGCAACCCCTAAATACGAATTCTAATTATTAAATTTATGAATAAAACCCTATTTCAAACCACCCTAAAAAATAATTGAAAAAAAAATGAGACCCGGGCATGTGACAACTTTGCAACGATACATGAAAAATGTTATGAAACCTAAGTAATTTATCAAATTTTCTATATAAGTATAAAATCTATACAAATTATATACATATAAATCCAATATCTATATAAAAAATTTAATTAAATATTTAATAAAGTATTTAAGATGGTAAAATAACTCACCATGCACATTTCTCCCTCTCAAAAATCGCTCTGTCAGTCTCATTTCTCTTGTACTTAGTATTCTTTCAACCCGATTCTCCGCCGCTTCGTCTGCAAAATCACTCAAAAACACTTTTCCGTCTCTATTTTATTAAATCTATATAAAACTTACACAAATTTATATGTTCATATAAAAAAAAAAAAAATATTTTTCAGCCAATCAGTAGTAAGACCCCCACACCCCCACTGGGGCAAGGCATTTTCCAAACAAAAACAACTCCCCCACCACCACTTTCTCTCAGGATTTTCTTCCTCTGTCTCCCCGATTTTCTCGAGGATATGGACACAACACCCCATCTTGATTCTAGGGTTTTATCCCTCATATTCCTCTCTCTCCTCTCCTCTTTGGTCTTTGTTCACTGTCAGAGTGACGACGCTTCAGTAATGCAGGCTCTCAAGCATCTCATGGTTTTCTTCCTCTTTCTCCCTGATTTTCTCGAGAATATGGACACAACACCCCATCTTGATTCTAGGGTTTTATCCCTCATATTCCTCTCTCTCCTCTCCTCTTTTGTCTTTGTTCACTGTAAGAGTGACGACGCTTCAGTAATGCAGGCTCTCAAGCAGAGCATCAACCCTCCGAGTTCACTCGGCTGGACCGACTCAGACCCCTGCAAATGGCAGAATGTGGGTTGCTCCAGCGACAATCGGGTCACCCGAATCCAAATTGGGCATCAGCACCTGAAAGGCTTTCTTCCTCCGAGTCTCGCCAACCTCACTTCCTTGCAGAGACTCGAGTTCATGTCCAACCAACTCACTGGTCCGGTTCCGAGTTTGTCTGGGTTGAGTTCTCTCCAGTTCTTGTTCCTCAACAACAACAATTTCTCTTCCATTCCCTCCGATTTCTTTCTCGGAATGACATCTCTTCAAGGTGTTTATCTCGATTACAACCCCTTTTCGCCGTGGCGAATCCCGGAAAGTCTCCAAAACGCCTCGGCTCTCCAGGTTTTCTCTGCCAATGCGGCCAATATAATCGGAAACATTCCCGAATTCTTTGGCGGGTTTGTGAATCTGGGTTCCTTGCATTTGGCATTCAACAATCTCGAGGGTGGATTGCCGGGAAGCTTTTCGGGTTCGTCGATTCAGTCTCTGTGGTTGAATGGGCAACAGGGTATTAGTTCTAAGCTCAATGGCTCAATTGGGGTGATACAGAACATGACCCAATTGAACCAAGTGTGGTTACATTCCAATTCCTTTTCGGGTCCTTTACCGGAACTTTCAGGGCTAACCGGGTTGCAGAATTTCAGTGTTAGGGACAATCGGATCACGGGTTTAGTACCCGTGTCTCTTGTGAACCTTCCATCGCTTAAAGTTGTGAATTTGACAAACAATCTGTTCCAAGGCCCGACCCCAAAATTTCATTCTTTGGTTGCAGTTGATATGACAATTGGGACTAATAGTTTCTGCTTATCTGATCCTGGTGTTGGTTGCGATTCCCGGGTTAATACATTACTTACGATTGCACAATCTGTTGGTTATCCAACGGTGTTTGCGGATAATTGGAAAGGGAATGATCCTTGTGTCCAGTGGATGGGTCTCACTTGTTCTAATGGGGACATTACTGTTGTCAATTTTCAGAAAATGGGTCTTAGTGGTATGATTTCTCCCAATTTTTCGTCAATTACTTCGTTACAGAGACTACTTCTTGCTAATAACAATCTTACAGGCACTATCCCTAATGAGCTCACAACTTTGCCTAACCTAAGAGAATTAGATGTTTCGAACAACCGGCTTTATGGGAACATTCCATCTTTTCAGAGTAATGTACTTGTAAAAACTGATGGGAATCCTGATATTGGGAGGGATAGTGTTAGTCCATCGCCGGGAACGCCCTCAGGTAGTGGAACAAAGACTTCGGGAAGTAGTGGCAATAAGTCGACTGGTGTGGTTGTGGGTTTGGTAATTAGTTGTATTTGTGTGGTATTGGCTGTTGGGGTTAGTGTGTTCTGCATTTGTAGGGCTAAACAAAAGCATTCTTGTAAGGTGCAGAGTCCAAATGCCATGGTGGTTCGTCCTCATCATTCAGGTTCAGACCATGATGCTGTTAAGATTACCATTGCTGATTTGGGTTTAACTGGTGGGACAACGAGTGAAACATACAGTCATGACAATAGTGGACCTAGTGATATTCATGTTATCGAAGCCAGAAATATGGTAATCTCCATTCAAGTTTTGAAGACTGTGACCAATAGTTTTAGTGAAGAGAACATATTGGGAAGAGGAGGATTTGGAAAAGTTTACAAAGGAGAGTTGCATGATGGGACTAAGATTGCGGTGAAGAGGATGGAGTCTGGAGTGGTGAGTGACAAGGGTTTGGATGAGTTCAAGTCTGAGATTGCGGTGCTTACTAAGGTTCGACATAGGCATTTGGTTTCTCTCTTGGGTTACTGCTTGGATGGAAATGAGAGGCTACTTGTTTATGAATACATGCCTCAAGGGACTCTTAGTAGGCACCTGTTTCACTGGAACGTGGAAGGGTTGAAACCCCTTGAATGGTCGAAACGTCTGACCCTTGGCCTGGATGTGGCTAGAGGTGTTGAGTATCTACATGCTTTAGCCCATCAAAGTTTCATCCATAGGGATCTTAAACCAACCAACATTCTTCTAGGAGATGATATGCGTGCTAAGGTTGCAGATTTTGGACTTGTTCGTCTCGCACCAGATGGGAATGTTTCAGTTGAAACAAAACTAGCTGGAACTTTTGGGTATCTTGCACCAGAATATGCAGGTATTGTATATTAAGCTCATTTTGGTGTAGGATTAAGTTTTACAACTATTGCTTGTCTTCTATATGCCTCGACAAATAATTAGTTTGTGGTGCTTGAAATAGTGAAAACACTAGTGTGGTTTACTAGATTTGAACTGTCATATCTGTAAACAACAGGGGAGCATCAAACTATCAACAGGCAAACCAATGAAACATGAAAGAAAGAAATATCAGCTAGCAGAGGATGAGTGTGAACATAATGCAATTCAACTTAATATTTTGTTTTTAATTTCGTGAATGCCTATCATACCCCATTGGCTAATCATGTGGGATTGAATTTACTTCACTTCACAATTAGGTTGTCTCTTTTTTTGTGTATCTAATTTTTTCAAGTTAAAAATTTTGAAACCAACTACACAAACTTGGCGAGAATGAATGAGCTAGTGATGACGACTTTATGGATGATGCATTGTATTCTAATTTCTGAATGATGGATTATCTCTCAAGCTTTGGATCTGGAAGTATGTTTGCATCTAATTAAACAGTTTCGCTCATTTTCATGGTTGATGTTATTAAAGTATTCATTTCAACATGATTTTGGTTGGTGTTATTGAAGTATTCATTTCAACATGATTTCCAGCTATTATTAGTCACTGCATAAGCATGAATGGTAATCAGTGTCTTTATGTGTATGTCAGTCTACAAGGCTTTCAGTTTTAACCACTTTGAGGATCCTTTTGTCTGAGCACAATTTTTTTTCACAAAGTTTTGGTGTTTGGTTGTACAAAAAAAAGAAAGAGTAAAATATGTTTTAGCAAGTAGAAGGAAATTGACTTACTAATCTGATTTCCATAAGTTAGTGCACGTTCCATGCTCTCACCACTTACAGGAAAATACGACATACTCACCCCTAAAACAAGACCTGACCTGTGTATATGGACTCTAGCGTATGGAAAACTTCTATAAGGTTCAAGCTGACCAATTCTCCATCATTTGGACAAAACCTTGCAATATATTTTGTTTTCACCTTGTCTGAAATTGTTTGTATTAGGTTTTTATCCTTGGCAATCCCTTTTGACAAAACTCCTTTCAGTTGTAATTTTGTTCAACTTTTATTTTAGTGAAGTTATGAGTTTTTAGATATAAATCCAACCCGAATTGTGCCTTGCGGAGATGTTTCAGAAGTTAATTCTTTCATGTTTGTCACTTCTCTGACTATGTCAGGGATCGAGTTGCTCGGTCAGCTCGCGAGGGTTCAGGGGACATCGTCCCTTGGTTGGTCCGGGGTAGCACTCAGGCAAGGTCGAGGGGTAGTGCTCTCGAAGCCAGAAGCAAAATTGTTGTCGAAGTTGTTTGTTTGCTCGAGTGGCTATTCCTGCGCTCGAGCGGAGATCGTGACCTTTCAGAAGTTTCACTTGCCTATAAAAGTACTGGGAGTTGTTTTTTCCCGCTCAAGCGGCCATTCCTGTGCTCGAGCGGCCATTCTTGGCTCGAGCGGAAATCGCGGATCAGTTTTCTATAAATATGTGGTTTTATCAGATTTTAGGATTACGGTTTCTAGATCTTGTTCCTAGGTATTAGGGTTTTTATCTAGAGTTTCTTTACTTGTTTTCCTTTGATATCTGTGAGAAATTAATCATGCATTAAGTGGATCAAATCAAAAGGTTTGTTTGTTTTATTTATTCAATACAAAAGAGAGAATTGTTCTTCGGTGGATTCCGTAGAATTTGGGCCTGAAGTTTTGGTGGATTCTGGAGTGGCTCATCGTCGTGGATTTGACATTGGCGTTGTGGATCTAACGTTGGGCAAAACAATTCTGAGGTGAAGAATGTAATGGAAGAGGCATATAGAGGTTGGTTCAGTTCGGGTATGGATTCGCTAGGTAATTGAGAGTACACTTGTGTAATTTTTTTTGTCTTCTTAGTGGATTGTATTGTGGCTTTTGCCTATGATTTTTTTGTCACAATTAAAGGCGATCTAATTGTGGTTTTTCCACATTAAAATCGCTGTGTCGATTTGTCTTGATTGTTTGATTGAAATTGTTATTTACCGGTTAAAATTGATACATAATCACAAATTAATATCTAAGGGATTTCTGGATTTTTCAGTTTGGAAGTTCGTTGCAAAACATCAAAAAATGAGATAATGAAATTGTTTTCCAAGTAAAAAGTTGTACATGAAAAATGGTATTCCATGCAAAATATTTTACATTGAAACAAACAGAGCCTTCACATGATTCACCCCTTGTTTACATGCTGATCTTGGGTTTATTTGAAACTCAGTACGCACATGGTGTATGATGTATGTTTACCAAGTTGAATGAATCCATTTATTTTGCTTTACTTGAAATGTATCTGTTGTAGTCTATAAATTTTCAATAAATCTTCATACTGTTGGAGTAAGATCATTGCGTGGATTGTTTCATTATTGTATCACATGCAATTGATGACTATGTCCTCGTTGAATTGAAAGCGCCCATATAATGATTCATAATTACTATAAAACTTGGGTGTTTGGGTTTACACATCACTTTCTCTGTTTTTGGTTTTCAACATTCATGTTACTGATTACTAAAATGTTAAAGTGTGACTAATGTACAGAGACAGGACGAGTGACAACTAAGAGTGATGTGTACATCTTGGGTTTATTTGAAACCCAGTACGCACATGGTGTATGATGTATGTTTACCAAGTTGAATGAATCCATTTATTTTGCTTTACTTGAAATGTATCTGTTGTAGTCTATAAATTTTCAATAAATCTTCATACTGTTGGAGTAAGATCATTGCGTGGATTGTTTCATTATTGTATCACATGCAATTGATGACTATGTCCTCGTTGAATTGAAAGCGCCCATATAATGATTCATAATTACTATAAAACTTGGGTGTTTGGGTTTACACATCACTTTCTCTGTTTTTGGTTTTCAACATTCATGTTACTGATTACTAAAATGTTAAAGTGTGACTAATGTACAGAGACAGGACGAGTGACAACTAAGAGTGATGTGTACAGCTTCGGAGTGATTCTAATGGAGCTGATTACAGGAAGAAAGGCACTAGACCAGACCCAGAAGGAGGAGAGTGTTCATCTTGTCACATGGTTCCGCAGAATGCATAACAAGAAGGACACATTCTGGAAGGCTATTGACCCAACAATTGATCTTGATGAAGAAACGCTTGCCAGTGTCAGCATTGTTGCTGAGCTGGCTGGACACTGCTGCGCAAGGGATTCATCTCAGAGACCTGACATGGGTCACGCCGTCAATGTACTCTCATCTCTCACCGAGCTTTGGAAACCATCAGACCCTGATGCTGATGACATTTATGGAATCGACTTTGATATGACGCTGCCACAAGCAGTCAAGAAGTGGCAGGCTCTGGATACGTCTTCATCAGCTTTACTTGGCAGTGGTGACAATACCCAAGGCAGCATACCCAATCAGTCATTTAAGGGTTCATTTGCATCTGCAGATGGGAGGTGAGAGACTAATTGAAGAAGACAAGACTGCAGTGTGAGTAGAGTTATTATTGATGGATGGTTCTTGTTGAGATGTGTAGGGTTTGTTCATTCTTTTGGCTGCAGCTTCCATTCTTTTCCTCTTGTTTGTTCTTTCAAGGTTTGCTCCATTTTCTCAAGATGCTGCTTGCCCCTCCTTTTTGTCCCTTTTGCTAGTTTGGATTCTTTTTTTTCTTTTTTCTTTTTCTCCAGTGGGTTGTTGATTTAAACTTTGAACAACTTTTTTTACTTTTCTTTTGTTATATGTTCTTAAAAGTCTTGGAAATGCATATAAATAAATTATTATGAGGTCTCTTAATGTTCATTCTGTTGGGCTTTGATGGAAAATCACCCTCACCCAATATTCACATAGATAGTTAACTATAATCTACCATGTCCTCTTCTCTAGGTGGACTATGAAGTGATACATCCACGTTGGCTATGAAGTGAATTCTTATTATAATTATTTGTCATATGATTATATAATGTGTTATCATCATTGTTGTGCCATGTGTTGTCTCCCATTATCTTAGAATGCTGGACGCACAATTTTTTTTTTTGTTACATTTAGTTTATTATATTTTACATGGTACATTGGTTAGATGTTAGTTGATTTTTATTATATTCATAGTGGTTGTGTTGTGGATCTATAGCATGAAATAATAAATTAGAGGAGAAATTATAAAAATAATCTTAATGTTTAATCTTTATAACATATTAAATTCTAATTTTTTTATTTATTCAATCGGAATCTTCTGTTTGTTTCCAGTTATTATCATTATTAAGACATTGTTATTGCACAGCTCATCAGCATTCTAATATAAAACTATCTTAACATATGTATTCAACCATGCTAGAGAGCTCGAATCGAGCCCTCCCGAATCCCCCAAATTGACGAAATGACGTCGTTTCGTCGTTTTAATTTTTTTTTTTTTCAATCAGAAAATCAAAAGAAGAAGAAAGAAGAAGAAAGAAAGAAGAGGAGAAGAAGAAAGAAGAAGAGGAGGAAGGAGGAGAAGGGAGGAGGAGGACTGGAGGGGCCCCAACAAATTGGGCCGGAGGCAGGGGGCGGAGGCACGACGGGCTGTGACGGACGGGCAGAGGCGGAGGCGACGAGCTGCGACGACGGCGGGGGGCTGCGACGACGAGCTCCTTTTCCCCTCTCTTCTCCAAAGCGAGCTCTTCGGGAGATTCGGGGGGAGGGGGGTTTCGAGCTCCCAAGCTTTATTCCATATGTATTATATTACACATCTCTCCTTATCTCTCTCTATATATTATGTTTGTGGATTAAATGTTATTTTTTATGAAATGGTTCAGTATATATGCATATAATATATGTATGTGGGTGACAAGTGGCGGATCAAGAATGGTTGTTGGATATGTTGCCAGCCAAATGGGTTTAGTTGGTCTTTTTGAATGAATGATCTTTTAAAGCTTCAACAATAATGACTACGAGGTTACCAATCCTACTTGTCTCGTATTCGTTCCCTCCATTTCATTGTATATCAAAGAAAAATGTTATAGATTTTAAAAGTTTTATTAAATTTTTTATCAAATATCTTATATGGGCGTAGGATTTACATCATGTGGGTTCATATTCATGTGAAATATTTGTTAGAAATTTTAATAGAACTTTTAGAATCTCTAGCATTACTCTATATTAAACTCAGGCCTCGTTTGGGAATATGCTAATTTAGTAACTTTTTGATTATTTGACTAAAATATGAACTAAAAAAAACTAGTATGTTTGGGATGACTTTTTGACTTTTTACGAAAAGATGTGCAAAAAGTAGAGAGAAAAGAGAATCTTTGACTTTTTGATATGGATTGTTGACTTTTTGGCTAATTTAGTAACTTTTTGATTTTTTGGCTAAAAAATATGGTTCCCAAACGAGGCCTAAGATTGAATTTAAGAAATCTATAATAGATATGATTTTAATAATTTGTGTTGGGAGATAAGTGTAATAAAATGAAAATTATATAATTATTAAATTGACTTAAATGTTTTTATAGATGGTATACACAAAAAAATTCAAGCACTTCTCTCAAGCATGGCTTGCGATTTTGGTGCTTGATTATTTGTAGTCCAAATTTGCCGACTTGTCCGTCAATTTGGTAGATAAAAGATAATGTCTACCCAAGTTTTCTGTTTTTATTTATTTATTTATTTTATTTTAAATTTTATTTAAATTAAAAAAGATAAACAAACAAACGAATAAAAAATTGTCCCACTGTATGCTGTTTTGTATCTTATATAATGGATATTGATATATCTTGTATTGTATCCATGTGACATAAGATATCACCTTTTCTCATCTAAGTACGCACTAGTTTTTAGTACTGAAAAAGCCATCAAACTAGATTCATAAAACCCTAGTGATTGACGAACCAAATTTGTTATAAAAAAAAGAAAGAAAAAAAAAACGCTAAACCGAACTAAATTAATATAAATCAAGTAATTGACAAAACAAAATTTCCAAAACATAATAAAATTGCACAATTGAAGATCTATCTATTTAATTAATTATTTAAAAAGTAGTTACTCCTTAATTTATAGATTTCAAAACGAATGACTTTTAAAAAGGAAACAAAGTAGTGAGTATTGATCTTTCCATTGTTTCTGATCAAACATGAGTCTTTAAAGAGTGAATCTGACAACATTGAGAAGTCTATAAAATTATGATTTTCTACTGACCATCATAGTTCTTGAAAACCAAATCAGCGCAACATGCTGGTCTCTCATTTTATTTATTTTTTATTAAGTAAAAGAAGTATATAATGGTAGTTATCTTCTTGTTTGCTAGCCAATTTCATTTCATCCTGGGTCTCTTGAGCAAGGATCCTCTGTCGTCCTTTCTTGCGGCCGTCCCTATCGCCCTCACCAAAACGAGATCGTTTTGGCCAAAACGATGTGTTTTGGCTAGTGTTTTTTTTTAAAAAAAAAAAACCCAAAATTTGAGTTTCATCTTCCTCTTCCTCTGATATGTTCTGTTTAGCCCTAACATATCAACAGGTACACACAGAGAGAGAGAGAGAGAGAGAGAGAGAGAGTGTATAGACATCCATCCTGCAAAATGAAGAGATCAAAACACAAGTGAATTAGTCATAGATCGATTTATGCTATGTTTGGGTTAATTAATTTTTTCATTTCCTTCTCTGTTTCATGCACAAACCCCTCTAAAAAAAAATTATTTAAACATTATTAGGAGATTTGGAACAACTTTTAAGTAAAAAATGTTGGAGAAAAATGGTTGAATAAGAAATTGCCTCATAAATGTGTATATAACTCACACATTTAAGGCTTATCAGTTTTACAAAATTGATTGGACAGTTTTGCTAGCATTAGTTGCCAGCCTTGATGGCTAGAGGCTCCTTCCCTCTCCCCCATGGTATATAAAAGGAGGCCTTATTCCTTGAAAGGATATATAGAATTTTTCCTTGACATCCATACACTGCCAGTTTACTTCTCCTATAATTTTCTTCCTGAGAGAGAGTGCTGCCGTTGTCCGTTCGCTAAGCTAATCAGAAGGTGCTTCTATTTTAGCTTGTAAAAACCATCGTATCTTGGGAAGTAGACGCCGGCGTACCTCTAGCATGCAACGGTGAGGCGGCGAATCTATTTTAAGGAGACTGTGGTATCACACAAGCTTCAGTTTACGCTTCTTTACCATTTTATTGTATTGTCTATTTCTGTGTAATATCATTGTAAATTCCAGCATATTTTCTTAGTCTGTAATTTATTTGATTAATTATGAGTTTATTTATTTTAGTTAATTATATTAATTTATACAACAATATTAAAACAGATTATCTATTTATTATAAAATTAGATAATTAGATTCATATGTTATGTGTAATATTTTCTCTACAATTGTACACTGTTATTGCATCTGTAGAATATTTTTTTTTTAAAAAAAAAAACACAGAATGTGATTTATTATTACTGGAATCCACATAGGAAATACCACTGTGGCATTCACATGAATTCATGAATACTACATACATGCTTGCAACTGCTTCCGAGGCCCATTGTTTGGTCTATAAAATGCTTGATTAAAATTGGTTGTTTCTAATTTATGTAAGCAAATTTAGATATGTATATTTGTTTATTCTGTTCATGGACTAGGAGTGTATGCTACTGTTGTGTTGGAAAAACAGACACTGCTCTTTATGATAGCAATTCATAAACTGAATGAATCTTTATTTGGTTCCACGTTTAGCAATTAAATGTATTTCTTATGGTGTTTGGTTTTAGTATAATTTATTCAACAATTTTAAGTATCATGAAAAGTCTTTCATGAAAATAATCATGAAAAATTTGTGACATTTGGATTACACTTAGAATAAAGCACCACACACCAATCAAGGTAATCTAAGAGTCACAAATCTTTCATGATCATATTTATGAAATTTTTTTCATGATTCCTAACATTTCTTTAATTTATTTGTTAAGTATGATTTCTAGGCTCCTACCTGACTAACATGCTCATGACTATGCTCATGACTATCAATTTTCTAGTCCATGATTTTCTAAAAATCTAAAATTAGTTGCATGATTTTATTAGGACAACAAAAATAAAGTTCCAGTGCGGTATAAATAAAAAATTGTGTTAATATTCACATGTCGAACATATGTATCAATTGGTATATCAATTAGTATATTAACAGATAATATAATATGACATAATTTAAAATTTTTTAAATATTTAAAATTTATATAATGAGTGATATTATAATTTCAAAATAATAATATTATAATATATATTAATATATTAATTAATACCTACACCCTAAAAAAATACCCTAGAATATCAATTCCCCGACCAACCATAATTGTAGTGGTGGACATTTGAAAATGGGCACGTGAATTACCCAAAATAAAGGACAAAATTGATTAGTGACAGAGATGTGAAAAATACTTTATAAATAACAAGGGGGTTTAAGTGTTGGAAAAAATGGTTTTATGGTGACTTTAATGTGAAATTAAAGTAGGTCCTAACTATTGGTTGATGTGGGATTAAATGAGTTTAGATTCTTTGTAACAAGGTCTTTACACCACAAAAAGAAAAGTGGTGCTACATACACTAAATAGTATACTAATTAGTATACCAACACTAATTATGACCTTATTATTGACCCTACTCATTATACAAATTATAAATACCAAAAACATCTTAACTTATGTCACATCATCAATTGGTACACCAATTAGTACACTAATTAGTGCATATAGCATTACTCCAAAAAGAATGATAAAAAATTATTAAGAATTGAATGAGAAATTGTCTCATAAATATGGCTTTATGAATGAGGTATTAT